ATAAACTGAGAGCAAGTTGGGATTGCATTCACAGCAGAATCAGTATTTAATCATTCGAAACTACTGAGTTCATTCATTATTCTTTCAAAAGTTTGAACGTGAATCCAACGTTCAGTGTTCAGTATTCAATCTTCAGTTGTTCTTTTCATCATTCTAATTTTTTTGCTCATTTAGGACGCCCGATATATGGCGGCTAAAAATAGCCATAGTGTATCGGCTATCAGTGACCTTAAAAAATCCTTATTTGTCAACAGAATTTATGTGTTATCAGTTTCCAGTTCCATTCGACTTCAATCTCCTTTCTTCGGTACACATTTGCTGCGTACGATTTCCATTTATTAACCATGATTTCACAACCAGATGATGACATTTATGTGATAATTAATGCTGTTTCTGTGTTTTTATCAGTTCTTTCTAGAATGCATGATATCTGTCATGTTCACCATCATTTTATATGTACAATACGTGCATTTGTACGTTGTAATGGAACCAGACAGCTTTAATGAAGTCATGATACAATGTACTTTGTCTGCCATTTACTATGTACTAAACGATGATAAAAGAGATGAAATTGAGAGCAATCAGATCAAGAGCATGAAAGAGAACAGGAAGGAATGTTCATTTAACGAATGGAATAGTCGTGAAGTTGCGTACGTGAATATTGGAGAAAATAAAAGCGATAGAAGTGTTCGAGCAGTGTTTATTCACATCATACCTGCTTGTTTGCTCCCTTTAGTGCCGTCACAAAAAAAAATTTGCTTTAGCTTTAGCGAACAGTCATTGGAAGGAACAAATGTTGATCTCACATAATCTTATCATTATCATCTTATCCAATCTTCAATATTTTCGTTGTTGTTGTGTGCACGAAACGTTTCCGACTCTTCACGATATGTGCACGTACATACCAATATCAATGCCTGGAAACCACTCAAATCATTGAGACAAAAAAAANATGTTTAGATTAGTGATAGCATGCGATAAAGACGGTCGGTCGGAGTTTCGACATCCGGATTCCGATCGAACGATCCCGTCCGTAGGAATGTTGAAATGTGAATTCGATTGGATTCCGACTGACTAAAATTTCGCTTGGATGCCCTCACTAGTTCAAATGATATTTTTTCAACATGTTTATGCGTAATGCACAATTTTTTTTGATTGTACCTGAATTGCACTGAACATTATTTATACCTGTTTGACTGAATGATTATCGCTCCAATTGTTTATTGCTGCCACGCAATCCTTACACTGTCATCACCATCATTAGTCAGCTCTCGAACGAAATTGTTTTTTTTTTTTGAAAAATCATTTTCATTCTTACGAATCGAAAAATTCTTCCAACACATGAAATATACTCGCTCGTTTTTTGTTCTTATTTCATTCCAATTTCTTTTGATTTAATATTTCTGCCTATCATTCTTCTTCGCGTCTTCATCATCGCAACAATCTCGTAGTCTCAACAATAATCGCTTTGCCGACTCGATGACGTGCGATTCGAACAGAACTGATAACCACCAGAATGCACAGCGAGCGTCTCTCGCTCTCTAATTGGACTTCTTGCTCTGAACGACCGAGCAACCAATACATTTGACACCAGTTCCAGTTGAAACTGCGTAGTGTCCCTCTATCTGCAACTGTAAGGCAATGTTCAGCGTCATGTTTGTAGTATTGGGTGCGTTCAGAAATTCGGACGAACAGAAGCAAGTATAAGAATGAGAGGAACGGACGAATATGATGATTTGCCTATTGAATTGGAGAACGAGAGCGAGCGTTCGATATTCAGTTCACATTGTGTCAAGTAATCGCTGTGCAACAGATACAGCGATGTGTGATTCAACATAAAATGCCGTTGTTCATTGAGTTCACATTGAATATCTTTCAATGTATACTACACACAAAGCTCACAAACTCACACACACACATAGAAATCGTTCGTGTCGATGGCCGTATAGCAAATTTCTCATGCTAACTGAATATCTTGTCTCAGTCGTCTTTCCGAGTGCCCTCACTGTGCTGCCTACTTTGATGATTTCGCTTTGCTGGCGTTCACTAGCCTGAAAATTTCCAAGCGAATCATCGTCATGTATGCAATAGCGCCGATAACATATCACCAATACGCATCGCTAGTGATATTTCGCTCGAGTGCCGTATGTCTACCGTGGGCGGTTCTACCGCTTCTCGCACATACGAACAGCCAACCGAGCGCAATCCGCCATATAATTTTCTCATTGCAGTTACACTCATTCCTACTCTCATCACTCTATCGAGTGTGTGTGTGTGTTGGAGAGTTAACCTCAGTCGAATCAGCAGTCCTCCACCATGCCTGAAGGTTTGTTTCATTTCAAAACTTACTGGCTTTCATTTCCCATTTACAGATTCAACAGGTAATTGATGATTACCTCAGAAACTGATACGACGTTATCCATAGGACACAACGTTCATTTGAGTCAATCAGCGAGCGATTACTTTCAATCCATTTGTCGTGAAACTGACTAACTGATCGATTCGCTCACTGCGTAGTTGCCCATCGCCGAATCGCACTGCTGCCTCATCTGATGCTTATTGATTCGAGAATCATCACTGATGAATGAATTGTTTTATAGGATCACTGCCAAGCAGTTAATAAAATGAATAAAGAGTCTGCACAATTTTTAAATTCTGACGAGGGAAGAATAGTTTTGAAAGGAACTTTCCGAAAAATGTCCTTAGATTGTTAACAATTGAGAGTCATCAAGCAATGCTCAGCTTCAAGTAAGCTTGTGTGAGGTTCGTCTTGCAATCCAGGAAGCTGAATAACTCTATTCAATTGCATCAATTGCATTCACACCGCATAGCATATACTCCCGCCACTGACCTTTTCAGATCAATTCCTTTGTGATTTAGTGTTCAACTGAAACCATGAAAACAACACGAACCCCCTCCCCTGTCTTCCAGTGATCGCGCGATTCTATCAGTCATACGTGCGATTTTACAATTCACAAAGAAATCTACTCAACTCTCACGGATACCATTATAATCAGTCGTAATCACGCTCAATTTACTATGCTTTCTAAACTATTCACTTCAGTCATCCAATCAATCGTAAGCATTCAATCCAGGAATCACTTTCACTTCGAATTGATTACTAAAGTATTGTATAATGTCAGAGAGAGAAATGCTTTTCAAAGCGAACGAAAATACAATTTTTGCCTACGTGGCAAATGCTCTTTCTACATTCATTCTGTTGATCTGCTGATAACGTATGACGGCAGTCTACTGATAAGTGGCAAGCATATGACCGAATGATCTGAAAGAAAATGTTGTCGGGAGACGATGTGAGATGAAATGAGAAGATGAAAATGATGTCTGAATAAAAATCAACGAGTTATTTGTGACTATTAACATCGTTGATTGATAGTTAACCAACCACTCATTACCATTTGCACTTAAGTTTTGTGTTTGTGTATCTCTTAAGGCACTTTGAACCAATACAGCTGAAGCAGTTGCAGCTGAAGCCGTACTTTTACTTCTGTTCAAGTCAACCAGCTCACTCAGAACAAAATCTCATCAGTTAATCCAGTTTTCTAACCGAACGAAATGTCAAATTCGTTTCGACAACTTAGGAAACTGAATACCTCAAACGATGAATCATTTAAATGTAATCATAAGTGATCATTAGTGATGAATGTTGCTGCAGTTATTGCGAGATGGAACGAACGATAGAATATGAGGAGATGGAATGACAATCGATACTTGATGAGAATGACTAAATGTTGAGACGTGTTAGGTGCCGAGTTCATTCATATAATACTGCATGACACCAGTGAGCATGCATTAGTCAACAAATATACTATCAGGTCATTTGCATATCCCCTCATAACAGATAGCTCTTGTCAAAAGTACAACTGAAAATGACCTGAATCTATCATAAGCCTAAATAAATCAATACCACATCGCTCTCCTCTCGTATTTACTGATGAACATTGAATATTCCTCAGCAATCATATCTGACCAAATAGGGACCAACTAAAAACATGATCAGAATCATCATGGATCTCAGGAACTCTTGACCATCTTTTGAATTTATTATATCAGACAATAATCCAGCAGAATTTCATTCCATCACGACGATCAGTTTTGGTATCTTGCACTCGGAACCTAAAAGTTGCAATGTGGTCGATGAATTCTGCAAATAGTCATTCTATTTCATTGCCTTCAGCCGTTCAAAACTAGGCCCTTCTTTGAATCGAATAGGTTATTTGACCTTGTAAGGGCAATATCCGAAGAGAATCTTCCGAATGAAATGCAACTAAGCGGTTCTAAATGGTATCATAGTTTTGATGCCACACATCTATCGTTCATTTATAGAAGAAACTTTCAAACAACATAAATCCTTTCTCGAATCAATTTCCTCTCGTATTCATAAATTTTAATTACCTTTTAAATTGATGAGGTGTTATAATGGAATGATATGATAACATATACTTTGCTCCTACAGAATTAGACTCCAGCAATATGACCATGAAAACAGGGACAACAGCCGCACATATATTACTCATTTTGAAGCAAAATTTATTTGTCATCGAACCATATTTGGTTCAGATCATAGCTTCACATGACACATTCCACGTTTTAGGACCAAAAACATTTGCCAGTACTTGTGAATACATGACAAATGCCTGAAATCTTATCTCTAATTATAGTATCCTGCTCAAATCGCCTTGCTTCTTCAATTAGATATCCGTCTCTTTTCCTAAAATTATCTCATTAGCAGCTTAGGTTTGATATACCAATCGGTATCATAGAATCGCATCTCTGAAAGCGATTTGAGACTGAAAAGTGATCACTTGAAAATGTTACTTCTAACGTAAGCGATTCATAAACATGACTATCATTCAAGGTTAATCGATTTCTGAAAGCATTCACTACGTTGTGTCGTCGTTACCATGGATTTAAGATACTTCCTTGTTTGACGGATTAGCGTATTGATCATTCTTGTGAAGGAGGTGTACCTATGAGGTGAGGTTCAGGTGACTGAAGGAGACCAACTGAGCTTGAGGTGACTGAAGGAATTGTGACACACAAATCACTAGTCGCTTGACTATCCTCAACGCCTAACGTTTTATGAAAACAACAAACAATCATGCACATTAGCTTATGCTCGAACATCCGATTGATTCATTTAGTGTTGTTGCAAATTCTGTTTTTAACAACACATTAAGCTGTCTCGTTTTTCTGCCTAACAACAAAAACAACTCGATTTGTTTACGCTGGAATGATGAGAACGGGACGATGTTTTCAAACGTACTCTCCATAACGGCAACGAACATTTAAGAGGTTTTGTACCAGGCGATGGGCAAAAATAATAACATTCAAGGGAACGGAATGAACTTGAAGTGATGATTGAAGTAATGAACTCCTTGAAGTAGTGATGCTCGCTCGTCACATTCTAGAACTGACACTTGTAAACACACAGGAAATAAGCGATGATTTGAACTGATCATTAAATTGAACAAAGTCTATCTAATTTTTGCTTTCAGGTAAGAAAGTGGATTTGCACAAATTTGATGTGAAGAAGTTTCTTATTGATCTGCTCACTGGTGGTACGGCCGCAGCCATTTCCAAGACAGCAGTCGCACCAATCGAGAGAGTCAAAATCCTTCTCCAGGTAATCATCATCAACTGAATTCATGCGTCAAATACATTTTTTTCAAAGTCTTCAAGTCATAAACTCTTATTTTCCAATGCTTTTCGATTTTCAAATCTCACTATCGAAGAAAAGTACCAAAATATCATTGAAGCATCCTGGAAACGGCATCAATTTGTGTGTTTCCTTTTCATNCATGCGTCAAATACATTTTTTTTCAAAGTCTTCAAGTCATAAACTCTTATTTTCCAATGCTTTTCGATTTTCAAATCTCATCATCAAAGAAAAGTACCAAAATATCATTGAAGCATCCTGGAAACGACATCAATTTGTGTGTTTTCTTTTCATTTTCACTTCTGACCACTTCACTTGCAACTTCGGTTCATTGCTGAAGTTTTTCATCCCAAATACTGATAACCACTACAACTTTTTGCTCTTTCCACTAGAGCTGAATGCAATCACAAGTGTCAGCAGGATATAACTTCATCCACATTCAAACACGTAACAAACACACTCACAAACGAATGATGTGTAATAAACAGCAACTTTATGATTGAAGCAATGCAACTAGTTTCACGTGAAATTCTTCAGTTCAATCGGGCGTTGCTGTTAAAATGCTGTTGTTTTGATTCTCTCACAAACAGCATTTCAGCCAGAATTGATAGCCATGTTTTGAAAATGATACGAGTTAACTGACATTGCTTTGGATCGTTGACTTGAAAGTGAACAAAATTATCGCAAACTCTAACAACGAGTTTTTACTCTCAACGAAATCTAAACATATTATTCTCTTCGAAAAGCTTAGAGCATTCATGAAAGTGCCTATTAATAATTCAAAAACAGGCAAAGTGAACCAGATTGATCAGTGAGTGAAAATTTGATCGTTTAAGGTACAAGATGCCCAGAAGACAATCGCTGTTGAAAAGCGATACAAGGGCATTATCGATGTATTGGTACGTGTGCCCAAGGAGCAAGGCTTAGTTGCCTTGTGGCGTGGTAACTTGGCAAATGTGATTCGATACTTCCCAACACAAGCATTGAATTTCGCATTTAAAGATACCTTCAAGAAGATGTTCATGGAAGGGTTCGTTCATAAATACTCATCACATCTCATGTTTTGTTGTTGTGACGGACAGTTTTGTTCACATTAGAAACCACTCTGTCTTGTTCCGTCTGAAACCTGTTTTCTCGAAAAGTTTGTTTGTAATGATGGATTATGTGGATCAGTAAAACGCCACTGAAGATCTGTTGAATTCCAAAAATTTTTAGTTTCATTATGTTTATCTTGCAAAATAAGTTCAGCTCACTCTGGTTACTTTTAGTATTGATA